AAAGAAAAAGAAAATAGGGCCGGGCACAGTGGCTCATGCCTTTAATCCCAGCACTATGGAAGGCCGAGGTGGGTGGATCACCTGAGGTCAGGAGTTCAAGACCAGCCTGGCCAACATGGTGAAACCCCATCTCTACTAAAAATACAAAAACAAATTAGCCAGTTGTGGTGGTGGGCACCTGTAATCCTAGCTACTGGGGAGGCTGAGGCAGGAGAATCGTTTGAAACCAGGAAGGGGAGGTTGCAGTGAGCCAAGATTGTGCCACTGCACTCCAGTCTAGGCAACAACAGCGAGACTCCATCTCAAAATAAATGAACAAATAATAGAAAACAGGAGGCCATGTCATTCAAGATACTTATAATTTTTTCCTTGAATCCCACTTTTCCAAGTTTCTGATAGTAGCTGTATGCCTTTACTTGTTTATAAAGACACATTTTTAGCCTTTTTGAAAAAAATATATTTCTGTATATTTTTTAGATATTGAGGGACAAGTAATCTGGATTCTCTCTCCAATCTTCACGAATAAATATATCCTATAATAATTTTAGGCGGGGCACAGTGGTTCATGCCTGTAATTCTAACACTTCGGGAGGCCAAGGCAGATGGATCACCTGAGGTCAGGAGTTTGAGACCAGGCTGATTAACATGGTGAAACCCTGTCTCTACTAAAAATACCAAAAAAATTAGCTGGGCATGGGGGCGTATGCCTATAGTTCCAGCTAATCAGGAGGCTGAGGCAGGAGAATCACTTGAACACAGGAGGCAGAGATCGTGCCACTGTACCCCAGCCTATGTGACAGAGTGAGATTCTATCTCAAATAAAATAATAAAATTATATTTTAAATCTTTTATCATCTTAAAACCTAAACAGTGACCACATTTTTGAAATGGGAAATCAGCTACCTTATAAAATCACTGAAATCAGAAAAAAACAGAAATGTAATAAAGGTAATTATATTTCAAAATACTTTAGAATTCATATAAATAAAAAATGAAAGTGAAGAAATTACAACAGATGCCTCAGAAATAAAAAGGATCATAAGGAACTATATGAACAATTGTATGTCAATAAATTGGATAACCTAGAGGAAATGGATAAATTCCTAGAAAAATACAACCTACCAAGATTTAGTTAGGCATAAAAGCGTGAACAGACCAATAACAAATACAGAGATTAAAGAAGTAACCAAAAACTTCTCAACAAGAAAACTCCAGGATCTGAAGGCTTCGTGGCAGAATTTTACTGAATATTCAAAGAAGAATTAATACCCATTCTTCCTAAACTCTTCCAAAAAATAGAGCTAGAGGGAATATTTCCCAACACATTATATGAGGCAAGCATATCAAAGTCAAAAGCATTTAAGTTGTTATCTAAGTCAAGGACATCACAAGAAAACAAAACTACAGGCCAATCTCCCTAATGAACACTGATGCAAAAATCCTCAATATTAACAAACTGAATTCAACAACGCATCACAAAGATTACAAATCACTAGCAAGTGAGATTTATCCCTTTCATGCAAGGATGATTTAACATACACAAATCAATCAACCTGATATATCATATCAAGAGAAGTGAAGACAATGGGAAAAAGACCTAAACAGATATTTCTCCAAAGAAAACATAAAAATAGCCAAGAGATATATGAAAAGGTGCTCAATATCACTAATCACAATGGAAATGCAAATGAAAACCACACAATGGGATCTCACCTCACACCTGTAAGGATGGCTATTCTCCAAAAGACAAAAGAAAACAAATGCTGGCAAGGGTGTAGAGAAAAGGGAACCCTAGTATACTGCTGGTGGGAATGGAGATTGTTAGAGTCATTATGGAAAAAAGTATATGGAGGGTCCCAAAGAAATTAAAAATATAGAACTATCATAGACCCAGTAATCCCTCTTCTGATTATATACTCAAAATAAATGAAATCACTACCTCATAAAGATATCTAGGCCAGGCCCAGTGGTTCATGCTTGTAATCCTAGCATTTTGGGAGGCTGAGGCAGAAGGATCACTTGAGGCCAGGATTTCAAGACCAGCCTGGACACAGTGA